AAGATAACTTTTTGATCTTTGGGAGTAACTGCTCAGAACAAAGTACAGCAGCCAAAAGGTACATTGCAATGATTGCTAACGAAATGGAGCAAATAGAGAAAGGCTCATTTGATGTTAATAACACCATCATTAAATTTAAGTTTTCAGAATTCCCCAATGACATGAAAATGTTGGCTTTTCTGGCTGGGGAGCTTCCAAACAGTGCCAAGTATTTTTCAACATTTGCTGACATTTCAACTGATCAACTGCTTGATGTAAGCAAATCATTTGGCCCAGAACCCCATAATGATTTCAGACCATGGGAATATCATAAAAGATTATCTGTTACTAAGAAAGTTGGTGACCTCAAGGATAAATTAAACAAGACTCAGTTAGCTCCCAACACTAAACGCAGCAAAATAACAGCATTCATTGCTTCTAGTAAGAGTAGGCAGGAGTTTGAGCCACTCATTGGTAATATTTATTGACAGAGCACATTTAGATCCTTTGCATCTAAAGAATAATGCCTGTCAGCATATCCACAAAATAATGTTGCATGAAGCTATCCAAAAGTCTGCCCTTGGAGGTAATGTAACAAATATGAGTGGGGTACCTTGGGATTCTCCATTTTCCAAGTTTGTACAGGCACTGAAATCTAAATGCCAGCTGTCCCGCTTAGCAAACAAAGTAACAAGGTGGTTTAATGAAACAAAGGCAGATGGGAAAGACTTTGAGTATAGATCTACCGGCAGAGATTCCAGGATGTATTTACATAATTTTATGCATCTAGTTGTGTCTTTGGAGTCCCCTGCAGACACTGCAAGGCAAACCTTCAGACTGCACACTTTTACATTTGTGAGCTTGCAACTAAGAAATGCAGTTTCTTTATTCTGCAGAATGACTATCAGTGATGATGAAATTAAAGTGCTGTCTTCTTACTGCACCAACTATTTCAGGGCTTATAGTTTTTTTATTGAGATAGTAACACCTACTGTATGGACAATAGGTCACATTGTCCCTGTGCATACCAAAGATGTTAAGTCCAAGTATGGAAAGGGTCTTTCAGTTACCTCAATGGAAGGGAGGGAAGCTAAACACATTTCTATTTCAAGGTACTCCCAAAACACCAACTATGGCATGAGATGGCAGCAAATTTTTCGCCATGAAATTCTTTCTTTAATCTGGTTAAGGGAAAGGGGATATAACCTTGAAAATTACATTCCTTCAAAGGACAGGTATGTCCCAAACAGAGTTGCCCTGAACAACTTCTGTTTTTGTGGTTGCCCAAAGCCAGAGGTGTCAGAAAGGTGTGGGTATTGTTCACATCCACATAGGCAGGCTATTTTGCTTTCTTGTCAATCAGGAAAGCTGGCTGTTGATAAGAAGCTCTACTAAAGCAATTTTTAACTCAGTGAAATCACTGTCCTTTAAAATGTGTAAAGCTTTGAATGTTGGACAATCAAAGTACCTTTCAGAGGTTTATGTACATTTTCTGCGACAATTGTCTTTGATGTGCAGTTAGATCTTTAAGTAGTTACATGCAAATCAATGTTAAAAATTGGGCATG